TTTTTTGTCACAATATTGTCAGATTTTGTGCTCAATTTTTTTTTTGCAATATACTGATATTTTTTTGCCAATTTTTTGCTAACATTTTTAATGTTGAGTAACAACAATCATAAATAATTTGTTAATCTTTTTATTTATTAATTTTTGCTAAATTTGATAATCAAATAATACAATTTTGACTAGTGAAAGTATTAATTATATTATAATTAAATTTTTTTATTTTACTTTTATATAAATAAAAAACTTTTTTAAAAAAAATAGATCTATTATAATTTATTATTAATTTTTAATAAGATATTTATAGATTAATTACTGATTTTTTTTAATATAAACTATAAATTTAATAAATTTTTATTTCAATTAAAATAAATTTATTTCTAAAAGTTTGATAAGTTAAAAAACTTATATTTATATTAATTTTATTAAAAACTTTTTTTATAAATAAAAAGTATATTTAAATAATTTTTTGAAAGGTTTTTGAAATATTAACATTAAAAATTAAACTTATAACTTTATTATAATTCTAAATTCCTTTCTTTATATTATATATTTTTAATTTTTCAATTATAAAAATTATCAATGATACTTTATATATATTGATTTTTTAAAACTGCATTAACCAATAAATAATAAAAATAATACAAACTATTAATATATTAATGTATTTTATTGTAAATAAAATAAATAATACTAATTATAATTAGAAAAATTATTTTATTAATATATCTTTTTTTTTAAATTTTAATAAAGATATTTTAAATATATTTTTTAAAAAATTTATTTATCTATTTATGTATAATTAAATCAATAAATAAAAAACATAAATAAATTTAAATTTTATAATATAATTTATAAAATATTAATTCTATAAAATATATTATAATTATATAAATTTTATTTATTAATTCTCTAAACATACACAAAAAAGATGTTTACATGAAGTTTTTATATTTCTTGATTAATATAGTCTTTTCACTTTCCTTAAAACAACTTGATACTTGTCTTTAAGGATTATTATTACCTTTTCTCACTTGTTTATAAACTCCTTTAAGTAAAAACTTGAATCTCTGGTGGCCTAAATAGACTTAAGCATATACTTCTTCTACTAAAGGCATGAAGGTTCTAGAAAGTAAAAGAATCAACTGGTGGAATATCACCTCTTAGAGCTAGACATGATATGGAGATAGAGATTTTCTAAATAGGGAAAGATTTATTATTTATCTTCTCATATACTGTCTCTTGCTTTCTTAAAGTATCTATAATTTTTTATAGTTTTTTGAATGAATTTTGTCTACTTCAGCTTGATCCTAAATTTTTGGTAACACAACATCACCTGGCTTCTGATTGGTTAATACAAAACATAGTAGTAGCAAAATATAAACAAGGTTCTATTGGCTATACCCAAATGTTTCAATAATGTCATTAATGAAAGATAGAGAAATCAAAAATACAAATTTTTTTACTGTTTCAAATAAAGTTTAACCAAAACAAAGAAATCATGAGGCCATTAGGATAGATACTAAATTTCTTGAATGGTTATTTGTTCAAACTAAGGTCTTCAACTTTTTATTATTCTGGTTAGGTAAAGTATGTAAAGGAGATTATTTTCTTATCTCGGTTAAGCTATAAGATTGAAAAGCAGAAAAATATAAAATATTGCCCTTTTCTAAGATTAAGAATATATTTTCCTAAACATTATATAATGATATCATAATTAAGAGAAACATCAGTAAAATTTCTTTAACTAGGTATAGTTATTTAAAGATATCGAGAGTTACTTAATAAGACTGAAAAGCTATATAAGAACCTGGGATCTATTGTTAGTCATCTTCTTATATATGGATGGATACAAAATTAAAAGCAAAAGAAAGGAAGCATTAAGTAAGATATTAAATCTATGTAGATAATAAGTATCTCAGATGATTATAAGAAAATAATTAAAAGTACAGATAAATAAGTTTCTTGGATAGTTAAGAAGAAGAATAATATCCCAGAAGGTTTAATTCTTAACGAAAAGAGGTTTTTAGTAAAGGTCCTTTGGAAAATATAAAGTATTTTTATTTTTTTTTTCTTTTTATGTAGTATATTTATACAGTTTTAGATATTTTCTTTTTCTTTTATTTTTTATTTTTTTTTTTATAGTTTCTCGAATTCAATTCCTTGAAAAATAATAAGTAATAATAATCTATTGACAATAATAAATAAATTAGAAGAGTATTTATTCAAAATCTATCACGAAATAAAATATTATTTTCAAGGTTGCACTTAGAGACTGAAACTCTTTTAAGAATTGAAAATTATTGATAAGTGTATTAGTACAAGTCTTTTAATTTAATTATAATACAATTGCTCTATGTATCTCTATTAGTTTTTATATAATTAATAAATACACAGTGCTGACTTGACCATGGGTTTTAAAAAAATAAATAAAAAAATAAATTTTATTTATTAATTAATTTTAAATTTTGATTTTTTATTATAATAATAGTATCCTTTTTATTTAATTAATTTAAAAAAATTTTTATTAAATATTTATAATATATTATAATTTAATTTTTAATAATATTTAAAAAAAATTTTTTTAATTTATTTTTAAAAAAATTAATAATAAATTAATATTAATAATTTTAATTGATTGATTAATTATAATTTTATATAAAAAAATATTAATTTAATTAATTAAAAAATTTTTTTAAATTAATTACAAATTTAAAAATTATATTATTATAATTAATAAAGGATTTTATTAATTAAATCAGTTGTTAATATAAAAATAAATATTTAAAATTAAAAAAAATTAAATAAAAATTTTTGAAAATCAAAAAAATTATTTAATATATTAAAAATAACATAAAAATAATTATATGATTATTATTTTAAAGAATATTAAAAAATTTTTATAAATAAATATAAATACTTAAAAATAATTTAATAAAAAAAAATAAAAAATAAAACTTTAATTCAAATCAATTAATAAACTTTTTATATTTTTCAAATTGTATAATTATTTAATTGATAATATATAAGAATAAGTTAGTTGTCATATAAAGTTCATATAATATTATAGATATTTATTTAAAAGATATGTTATAATGGTATAATTGTGAATTAAAAAAAATAAAATAAAATAATAATTAAAAAAATTAATAATATATTTAAAAAAAATTATGTTTATTATATATATATAAATTAATATAAATTTGAGGCAATTATTCAAAATAAATTAATACTGTATAATAATAAAGATTAATTAATTAATTAATTAACTATAATATATCATTAAAGGTTAAAAAATTTTTTTATTTAAATTACCAAATTTGGCTTTCAATACAATTCGCTGTTTATTTGTCACATGATTAACGGGATCACCAATCCAGACGCATGCAACATTCATTCCAAAATGGTGACATTAAAGGGTATGATAAATTAGAACAAAGTATGAGGGACAGAATCCGAAGAACTCGAGATCAAACTTCTTCATTCCACACATTTCCTATTATATGAAACATCTTGAAATAATAACGAGTATCTTACTTCCATTGGAATGTGAACCAATGGTAGTAGACTCGACGAGTTCTGTGCACCGAAATTAATTGTTTTTGATACGCAGAAAGGAAAGAGGAGTTGTGTAATTAGTGTGGGTAGATTTTTTGAATGCAACCTGCTTAATATGAAACTTGGGGATTTGATTATACGCCCTAAATATTTTGCACCTCATTTAGCTATTCCAACCTTTTATTTTATTGTACGTAGTGGCGGCTTCAAAATTCAAAAAAAAAAAAAAAAAAAAATCTCTTGCTTTTACGAAATAGGCACAACAAACCAGTAACAAAGCCTTAATCGAACATGGTTTTCAACGACGATCCTCGCTAATCAGATGACTTTACCATTATATTATACGTAAACGTACGTATGATAGATACACTACTACACAAAAAGTATGCACTCATATGGTCATATGGTTCTAATGGTATCAACACACGATAAATAATATTCTACTATTGTGTGTCAGGTTCAACAATCTTATCTGGTATATGAACTTGCTCAGCTTGCATCATATATATATGTGCATTAATAATAAGCAAAAAATGTGGCGCAGGAGAAAATTCGAAATTGATAAGGAACACACGCACCTGCGACGGGATAGATTATTTTTAGAGATAAGACTTTAATAGGGACTAGTGTTCCGGAACTTTACCAATCATTATTTTTTTTTTTACGAAATTTATATGTCAATATCCAACTCGTAAATAAGATTTTATGTGCTTTGGTTCTCACTAATACTTGTTAGTGTGTTTGCTACATACAGTATCTCGCTATCATAAAGACGGTAATTCTATGTTTCTGGGCTGAGTTACAACCACCATATAATAATAATAATTATAAATAATATAATAAATATAAAACTTATATAATACTACGACATGACGTACAATACGAAAAACGATCAATATATCTATCTATTTATAATAATAGTATTCGGGTCATAAGTGAGGTTTTGTGTGCCGTGAGAGATTATTATAATATTGGTGAGCATTAGAAGTATATATGGTGTTGGTTCATATGTAAGACATGTAAGGCTGTCCACTATATGTATACGGTACACTGATATGATGATATGAAAAACTGAGAAAAAACAATCCCCCATAGGACCACACCCCATATACCACATATTCACCTATATAACAGACGAAAAAAAAGATATTTTCTAAACATACCTGCTTTACCCGCTCCAAAATTTACCTCAACTGACCTTTTCATCTCACAAAAGTTCGTCTACTCAACTCAAAATTTCACAATGCCTAAAACCAAGCCTACTAAAAAGGCTGCCACTGGTGAGTATTTTTCGTTATTTCTGTGCTCACCCCTATAGTATATAGAAAATTTAAACGCTCTTAATTCAAGAGCGTGTCCTTCCAAATTTCTCTTACAAAAAGCACTTTGGAGAGGACAGCCGACCTCCAACTCCACGTCAATTCACGTTTTTTTATACTGCTTCCATACTCTACTTGCAAGCGTTTACTATAGCGCGACTGTTCATATGTTTTATATATGTAACCTGTGTGCACCGGTCTTCTTGAGTTTTCACATACACTAAATATATAATGTCTCTTCCTTTGCGCAAAAAGGTGGCAAGAGAAAACTCTCTCCTTATAACGCCTTCATGAAGGCCGAGTTGCCAAAAGTCAAAGCTGAGAACCCAAACCTTGAGCATAAGGCTGCCTTTAAGCTTGTCGCTGAACGGTGGAAGAATAGTTCCGATAATCCAAAGGTACGGTTGTCCCTCTTCTTTAGCACCAGCTTCTCCCATATTTTGGCAATGTTGGTTCCAGTGTAAACCTTTTTTCTTTTTTTTAATTACTTTTTCCCCTAAACAACAGAACCAAACGGGTTGAACCTCCACGTGACCACGCAAGCGCATATTTCGGGTCTACATTAAACATTGCGGAAACTTGCTTTTCCTAGACGGTTAATTTTTTTTGTGCTTTAATATTTCATAATTCAATATTGGTTTCGCTTTTCTCTCTTTGTATGTGTAAATAAATAAAATCTTACACTTGTCATATTCACGTCGAAGATTATTATTAATACTATAATTTATTATTTTTCCTTCACATAATAAGTATATATACATTATTTGCTGAAATAAATCAAAAGGTTAAAAAAGAATCATGTTTGAAGTGAATGTTTTACTAACGAGGTTTTCAGGACTAAAATGTGATAAATTTATTACATTAAAAAACAAAAAGGTAAAAACCTTTTTCTTTTTTTTTTCTGTTGCAGTCAAGCTCTAAGGTAACGTTATAAGTATCAGATTTAAGAAAATAAATAATAATTTATCATAAATTGTCTACAATGTATATTCTTGAATTCCAAAGACATGCAGTATATAATATAAGATATAAGAAATATTTGTTCAAAAAATATTACAATAGGAAAAAAAAATTACAAATCGAATGCGGTGCTTTAAAAATATTCAAAAGTAAAGATATTTTGAAAATATATTGTATTTAAAATAGTTCTAAGATTAATTTGAGAATATAAAAGAATGGGAATAATAAGAAAAAAGGTAAAATAGTAGTTTTATAGTATAGTTCAAGAACAATATAATAAACTTTTTTACACTTTTTGTTAAATAAACAAATTAAAAATTTTTTGTTTACTTTAGTAACTTTAAATAACAAGTCTTTTTCTTTTACTTTAACCTGAATTCTATATTATTCTAAAAAAAAAAAAATCAAAAAATCAAAGAATAAATAATTTCTGTTAAAACAATCTCTATATTATATGATATATAAATATTTTAAATATAATAAAAACATTATCAATTATATTATATGAAAAAATATATATATATATTTTTTTTTAACCTGCAATCATGCCACAATGACATGTCTTTATTAAGATATTGAAAGATATCACAATGTTTACAAACTTTCACAAAGTGATTAACTTATCATTGTATATTATTAGTTAAAGGACTACATTACTTAAAAAATATGTGAAGTCCATTAAGTTAATTTGGATCAAACAAAACTAAGTCTAAATTAGATACTCTAAGTCAGATTTTGGAAACAATATTATACTCTTCTAATAGCTTGGTATTAGTCTTTAAGTTAACCACGATTATTATTAACAGTTTGTTACTATTGATTATTTCAAAAAACAATAAATTGCTAAAGTTGGTATTGAAAAAAAAAGAAGAAAAGGAAATACAATTCAAAGTTCTTCAAAAGATTCTTACTATATTTTACAATTTCCTCTTAAAAGAGGTTTGCCTGATTGGAATATTCTCTAAGCTTTATGATGTTTAAGAAACTTAACTATTTTTAAAAGTAATTTCAAAAAAAAAATATTTGAGGAACTTATTCTTTTGCTGATATATAGATTCACTTAATACTACTGGAACCAGCACTATATTATAAAAGAGTTTGCCTAACCAGAATAAAGAAATCTTTTCAAGAACTTTATCTGATCAGAATAGAAGCTTGGAGATCTCAGCTTTTGTTTAAAAAGCCTTTTTATCACTTGAAGAACTTAATGAGAGATGAAAGTTGGATTTTTTTTTCTATCTGTCACTTGTCTTTTAATATCATAATTGTTTCCTGAAGATTGAATATACATGATTAAAGAAAACACTTTTTCTAAAACTTTCTTTTCTACATCACTAATAATATATCAAAACATATAAGTTTAATCAATAAGTGCTTGTTTACATTTCAAAACTGATGTGTTTCATGTTAACCAATCATCTTTGATAAGGATTTGTGTTACTCAAAATTCAGAATCAACTGAGGTAAGCAAAATTTTTCAAAAAACTATGAAAATATAAGCTTTAAGAGGACCAAGACAGTCAAAAGGAGAGAAAATAAGCCTTTTTACTATAAAAAACCTTTATAAACTTCTTGTATCAAAGATTAGAAAGACCTTCAGGTACTTCTCAGTCAGTTCTTCTTCCTTGAAAACTTTCTTGCCATTGGTATCAAAGGTGTTACTTGACTTTTCTTGAACATTAGGAGTCAAATTTTTGAGTAACAAGATTTGTAAACAATAGAAAAAGAGTAAAAGCAACCTTTGAAATTATTTTTTTTTTTAACCTGCAGTCAGGTCAGTATGGCGTATCTTTATTGTATGTATATTAAGTATTTATAAATTGTTGTGACTTTCACATACTGACTCACTCGTCATCAAAAAAACTATTTCTCTAAATGCAACTTAGGGAATGATATTTTGCTCCTTTACTAATTTGAATAATTCCTCTAATTAATAAAATCATTGACTACAGGTCATTACTGTAGATCATTCTAAGTTCTGTCTGCAGTTAAAAGCCAAACCACTTAGTTCCATGGCAAACCC